TCCTGCCGCGGCCAGCACGCACGCACGCACGCACGAATGAGGTGAGCACACACACACACACACACACACACACACACACACACACACACACACACACACATGAGCATTCATGCATGTCGATTTCGGCATCTATTTATAGAGCAACAACCCCCCCCCCCAAAAAAAAAAAAAAAAAAAGGAAGTGGATATTTATACGGCAGGCCGTCGAAAAATCGGAAGCGATAATTCCACGGCACATAAATTCAGCCAATCAGAACATCCGGACTATTTATAATTCTAAGCCTATAATCTCTTTTCCATAAGTAACGCATTTTATAGATACAATTTAAGATACCTGTATGTTTAGTTAACAATGTTTATCCTTTGCTGTCCTTTTGTGCATTATGGACAATGATGAAATGTTTTGTGTGATTGTAACGAGAGTGAGAGATGCACAAAATGGAGAGAAGACATTTTTTTCCCCAACAGTAGGGTGCCCTTGTGGATGGGACCGGGTCGGGTAAGTATGATCACCCGACTCGTCGCCTGGAAAACAAACACAATTCTTGTACTGATACACTTCAAGCAGAGCCTATGCCGTCGAAATATAAATTCCGATCTTTAGACTCAAGACGGCATACCGTATAGGTGTCACTTCCGATGTTCAGACAGCATGCCGTGGAAATATCAACTACGATTTTCAGACGGCATGCCGTCGAAATATTGCTACCCCCCAAAAAAAAGCGAGCCCGTCTTTGTCTCCGCCAGCATTACGCCGTCTAGTCCCAATCCAACCACCGTGTCATTGGTCGCTTTTAAGCACAGGGGGCTATCCCCCCAAAAATGCTGTTGGGAGAAAATCAAAGATAACGTATTTGGACCCTTGTTCAGTTTCTTTAAAAGACAAGGAGAGTTTTCTCTATAACCAAACAATTAATATACACACCATTTCTGAAAACAGCATTTTTCGAGACATCCCTCTTGTGCTTAAAAGAGTCCAATTTCAAAATTCCCTGCCATAAAACACCCGTTATACACATGTAAACTTGTTAGACCCACCCCTACACCGTGATTCCAAACATATTGACACTGTCGCTCCTTTGTTTTCTGTTCTAGTAAGTGTATTACGGCACTTGCAACACAATACGGTCCATGACTGCTGGAGATTAGAGGTGCTACAAGAGAGTAACGAACACAAAAAAGAAGGAAGGATAAAAACGACAGATGTTTGATAGGAAAGAGGGTGCAAACCACACCACAGCACCCGCCAACCACCCACAATATTGCTCCTTTGAAGCATATCAAGGAAGTTAAGATCTGACAGGACGGGGTGAAAGAACTTGGACAATCTATTTCCTCAATGTCTATCAACCAAGCAAAGCTGTGTCAGGCATACTACTTTAAAATCGTCTGTCAAGACGCAAAACACGATTGCAATACAGCACGCGCGGAAGCATAGTTTTATTCAACATTGAGACTCAACAGCTCGATAATTCCGCCTGTAAAGGTTGTACAGCACACACACACGCGCGCGCGCGCGCACACACACACACACACGCGCGCGCGTACAAATACACATTGTCATACACACACGCGCGCGAGTACATACACGTACATACACACGCGCGCGTCCATACACACGGACACACACACGCGCGTACATACACATGCACATACGTACATACACACACACACGCGCATGCACACATGTGCACTCACACACACTAACTCATTCACGCATAATATAATACACAGATGGAGAAAGAGGGGGAGAAGACACCCACACACCCACACACATTAAAAAAAACTTATTAAAAAATTAAAAACCTCTCACATACAAGATATAATGCACCAAGCAGCCCCCCCCCACCCCCCCTCCCCCACCCCTAAGAAAAATATTCCCCCTTTTTTTTGGGGAGAGATGGGGCATGTTACAGAGAAGAATTTTTTTTTTTTTGTTTTTTCCGGCCCCCCCAAAAAATAAAAAAAAATAAGGCCCCCCCCCCCTGTCTGGGACAAAAAATCTTTTTTTTTTTTTATTATAAAAAAAAAGAGAAAAAAACAGC